AGATAGACGTGCAGGAATTTGCCCTCGCAATGGATGAATGCCGTGGGTATTGGGTATTTGCGCGTGCATATATACGTATTCTCCGCGGCCAGCGAAAGAAGCTATACAGTTATAAATTTCTCTACCATGAAATGTACAGCGTAATTGCCATAATTGATTTTATGAAAAACTAACGATACATAACGGAAAGAACATCGCGTTTTCTTGGCTGTTCTCTCCCATCGAACGGGATCGATACGGTGTACAGAGTCCCTTTTCTTTTTCGCTAGATTTCTAGATGCACGATAATAATTGATCGATAAAGGCCTGAAATTACGGGCGTACAACGCTCGCGGCTTTCATCGCGTGTCGATGCATCATTAGCGTACGCATGTACAATATATATATGGGCCAACAGAGAAAATGTGAAAGCCACTGTGGTGCGCCCCCGCGCCGGGACCCTCATCTTGGACATTGAGAAAAGTGACCTCCTTTCGCTATCTGTCCACTGTCTATCAAATGTCCATTACTGTCAGATATGCTAATAAATCGTCAAATATGAAGACTTAAGTATTTCGCAAAAATCTCTATCTTCCTATTATGTGAATCAGATATGATTATAAGATATTTAATAAGGAAATATTGCTGTTACAAAAGGATACAAAATGTGCGATCGTAATCTTTTAATTGTTATTAAAATCTCAAAGAGTCCCAAGAGTTAATAAAACATTAATTACTTCTTAATTATTTCTAGTAAAGAAAGAACTTGACAAACGATAAGTGTTATCAGAGTCCACTATTTATCAAATATTCATTACTGCGAGGCCTGTCAAATGTGCTAACAGCAATTCATCAAATGAAGAATCAATAGCTAATTCTAAAAAAAGTATTTCTTGAAAGCTTCTACTCAAATATCAGGAATCTATCATATGAATAAGGAACATATCTTATTCATCTTATGATTAATGACGAAATATTGCCGTTCCAAAACAGTAAAAAATGTAAACTCGTAATCTTTTAACTGTTATATTAAAGTCAAAAAGCTCCAAGAGTTAAAACAATTATTTCTTAATTATTGTTGCTAGAAAAACAAGTTTAACCTTAACGAACGACGAGCGTTAGCTGTTCACGATTTGACACATCTAACTGGTCTGTGGTCAAGCGACGAGCGTAATACGATTCGCAAACGAAGTCTAAATCAGTTCGGATCGACGAAGCGTATGATTATCTCCTTTTTTCAAAAAGAAGGGAGAAAGCGTGCGTGGTTGAAGACAACCAGCAAGGATTTACCGTTTATCGGGCGCAATATTGTCAAGGGAGAAAAAAAAGACTTTCTAGGAGCACGAGCGCGAGCACGAGCGGAATCGAAACCGCGGTTGAAACTTTCTCGTGGTATGATGTTGTTTCCGTTCGCGATCGCGGAGAGATCCCCGAAACAAGGAAGAAGCGAATCCGCGAAATGCCATTTATTTTCGAATAGACCAACGCGGGACGCGTTTCCCTTCACCGCATGATTTTCTTATTACAATGCGATAGCAACTGCTTTGCGTATAAGACAAGCGCGGTTATTAGAAATGTTACACGAGAAATCAGCTTTTATTGACATTTAATTAATAAATCCTATGGCAATTCTTGAAACAATGATATTCTTTACGTTATGGAAAATAAAGAGATTGTAGATTTAAATTTTACATCTCTCCTTTAATTCATGAAGAAAGTTGATTTCCATTTGCTATATGTAGGATAAATTGGAGGAAGCCGGTTTTGATTAATTCAAATATAAATGCTGGATAAAGCAACAAATATAGAAATGGAAAGTAATTATTTTCTGATTATTTTCTACAAAATTCTGAATAAATTCAAACAAGATTTTTATTTTTAAAATATCTCAGCTTGTACCCCTCATGTTTTATTTAATCTTCTTCTTTCTCTATGAATACCTTTTTTATTTCCTATTTCTCTCTTTTCTATACTACGTAATCTACTTCAATTTCTACCAGATATCTCTCTATTTATGACTGGTAGCTGATAATATTTTATATCGTCGAATAACTAAACTATTTTCGACTGATTCAATCATCTCTTAGTACACTTACCTAATAAGTCGGTTCCGGTCGTGAAGTAGGAGTCGTCATTTTCATGGCTGATTCTCGACGCATATCTGTTGCTTCCCACCATGGCGTGCCAAACTGAAAAGAGGACATAACAAGTGGCTTGAATAGGAGGCCGCGTCAAAGTGTCAAGGCCGGAATTCACGGTTCATATACGTATGTTTATTCGGTAAACACGAAATCTCTTTGATGATACACAGCCCCGAGTAAACACGAAATCTCTTTTCAATAATACAGGAACGCTTCCTTACTCATGTCCTTCGCGCCGCGTTGATAGGGATCCAGCCTGTCGAGGACGTTGTCGTCCATGCTGGCGAGGCTCCGTATGCCGGTTACGAGCAGGTTCTTGTTGCAGTCCGGCCTCGAGGAATCGGCGCAAAACCGTGCCACTTGTTTGCTGAATAGTCCGTACAGGTGACTCATCTGAAACGAGAAAGGCACGGGTCTATTTAGAACCTGGCGATGGCCATTGATCCCGTGCGTTTGCGACGAGCATGCGAATGCATCGATTCACTCGTGAGAGGAATAAAGTGGAGGAACTAAAGCACGCGGAACGCGGCGCGTCTTCCTCGAGCGATAGATTGTCTTTGGGAGCATGGCACTTAACGTTCTCCTTTAATGTCAGACTTGTCAGAGTCCCCTTCGGGTCAGAAATGCGAAAGGAGAACCATATCGCGCGCCCGGCAACGCATTCCGATCGCGTCCGGTGAAACTCGGCAATGTGTAACGACGGAACCGACAGTTAAAACCGACAAATATGTATGCGCGATGCGGCGTCTCCCGTATATCACGTATCGGGTTGCGCGATACCGTCGCCTCTTCGCCGGTACGAATCGCGCCGGTCGGTCGCGAGAAACGTGCAGGGGCTCGCCGTTTTTGCGGCGATGACGATAACGAGAACGATGTCCACACAGGGGCTCCTTCTGCGGCTCGCTTCGATGACGCGCGCATCCGATCTTAGAATTTCTAATGACACTTCTGTAACAACGTTCTCGTATCCCGCGGCGATCCTTTTACGAGTCCGTCTATTATTCTCGCGTCGCGCGCGCGTTTCGACACTTTTTGGCGGGCCCACACACGCTTTTCTCGCGTACTTTACAGATTAAACGATCCAATCCATCCCCGACATCACTTTTGACATATATTTGTGATCAAAAGAAACCTAAAAGCGACTATAATGATTTTAAAAAAGATTTGAAGTTTTTAGAAAATATAATAAGTTTAAAAATGTTTTGAAAACTGTCTCAATTTTTTCAGCATCTCGTAGTTTTTTAATATTTTTACCGCCAGCTGTGACCGTGTGTACTTCCTCTATGTAATTATTAAATATTTAAGAAAGTAAACTGAAAGTGTCGCGGAGGGAAAAATAAGGCGGCGTCTTTGGTCTCATATCTTTTCCAGTGCAATTACCGTTGTTAACTAATGTACCTTGGATATGTGGTCAGTTGACGGATTACTGTCCCGTTTCCGCTGCGATTCCGGAAACTGGGAGAAAGCGGAGATGAGCGGAATTCTCGACTATAGGCGAATTAGTGCGGAAAGACAATGACTACATATATGTAGTTACGCTAGAGATACGCTCTTATACTCGCTTCTATTTCGCGTCTGTCCGTCAAATATCTTAGCTAATTGTACAACACGTAACTTTGAATATTTGTATATTTGAGTTACCTACAATTTTAAAAAAATTGTTAGAATTAAAATATTTGTCTGAAAGAAATAAAAGAAGTTTTTAATTATTTTAACTTTGAATAAGTGTTCCTGATTTACGCACAACTATTTGAAATTTGAGAAGGTATAAATTGAAACATACGAGAAAAAATATTTTAAAATTGCAGAAATTTTGCAAAAATTACTTAAAATTTGCATATCTGTTTCGAATATCTGTTTGAGTTATTTCAATCTTAAATAATAGATGTTTATTGTCACAGTTGTTTAAAATATAATACGCTAAATTGTTTTAATTACGACATTTTTGCTTGTCCAGCCAGCTGAAAATGATTTTTAATCCGTACATTGACCCGAACTCCGTCGAGAAACTGATCCTAGATACGCTGCACTGCTCTTGAACTTCAACTCGGCACTTACTCGTGCGATCGCTTTTACTTGCTTCAGGAGTATTACATGCACACATTTAATCCGGTATATACAGCCGCGAAATACCGCGCGTATAGCCTTGGCCAAGAGTACGAAGCACTTTCAATGACTGACGGTAATTCAACCTTAGTATAGTCAGCGTTCGCCAATTAAGGTTCTACACACACACACTATTCTACACGTATTCTATTTTTAACTTTAGAGCATGCAACTTGTGATAAAAATCATTGAATAGAAATGAATCTGAGGAAGTTAAGAATTTACACGTTCTGCACATCAATTTAATTAGAGGATTATTTATATTTTCCAATTCGATGGTTCAATAAATGTTAAAAGTAAATGTTAATTTCTGATATGCATCGAAAGCATGCATTGATTTTACCTATGATTCGACCTCCTATGCATTCATCGCCTTGTAAGAATCCGCGCAATTACCGTGTCACGGCGACGATTAACAGTCAGCGTAATTATCTTCCCGGTCGTAATCGCGGTAATCTTCAGATTTTTACAACCGCCGCATAAACACTCCGCGGATACTAAAGACATTTCATGGGAAATACGAGGGCTTTGAGGTAAAAAGGTACGATTCGAGCGTAAAATCGCGAGACATCCGGCTATTGATTGATAACATCGAGCAGTTCGAGATTAAAACGAAGTCCCTGATTTCCACAACTTCACAATACCGAACGTGTCATTCGCACGAGACTCCTCGCACTGTCGGAAGATTTACGACGGTAATAAACAAGTGTGTTGGATTGCTGCAATGATCTGTTCGGTATTTGTCAAGTGAGGCTGTCAACGACGAATTACATGATTTTGAAATGACTCTTTTCAATTGAAATAAACTTAGAGAGAGAGTTAAATAAATCTTTTTTTCCATTACTGCGATATATTAAGTAATTCCGTCAAATTTTGGGATATCAAGAATTTGACGATCATAAATACACTGTACTTATATTAAAATAAAGTGCGAAGTGTCAATGTTTATTATTCCTAATATGAGAGCTAAGTACTTAAAGCAATAAGTATAAAACAACAAAGTCATAATTATTTTCAAAGCATTTTCAACGAGTATTCGAAATTCGAAGATGTTCATCGACCTCTCGTGTTAAACTGATAAACTTCCTGGCTTATCGTCGCTGAGAAATTCGCGCAAGTACAATACAAATGCAATAACAGCAACACCGAGCACGCCCAGCACGTGGTTCGGATGCAACGCACTTGCATCGGATAAACTCGATTGTTCGGTGAAAGTCCACTGAATAGCTGATATCACGAAGAGATGTTTGCAACATCTCTCATTCGGTTTCGCGCGAAACTAATAAAAGAGGTTTAACAGTTATAATAACAGTTATAATATCAAATAAGATAAAATAAAACATTTATAATATCAAAGATAAAAAACTGGATGGCATAGAAATGAAGCTACAGTGAGTGAAATAATAAGTACTTGTATACTTTTCTCTTGGAATAATTTGCGAAGAAGAGAAACGTTGCTATTAAGCGTTTTATTCGATATACCAGTACAAATGAGAATGCAATGCGTTCTGACGGAAGTGGTGGTAGTATCTTTCTCTTTCGTGCAGAATTATTCCGAAAAAGATAAAATATTTTTTTTTACACAGTGTACAACGTAGGTGCTTCTTCTCTTATATTTTTTATACTCTTATACGTACTGTATGTACTTCTTGCATTTCTGCATTCACAGAATCTGTCACTTTAAATAATCATGAATAAATTTGGAGCAGCTTGTTATCGTACTAAATATATGAGTATACTTTCTTACATGTAAATTAGAAACTTAGAAAAACAGAAAATTGTATAGTTTCGGACATCTAGCAGTCAAAAATAGCCAGCATTGTCAATACATTCAAATAAGATCTTGTTTAAGAAAGAATTTTTCGAATTCGTATTTAAAAAGCCTCACGTAGCTGCACTTGAAAAAAAAGCGATGCTTTAAAAAGATAAAATAGCTTCACTTAAAGCAGCGCTTTGAAAAGCTCAATAGCTTTATTTAAAGCAGTACTTTAAAAAGCTCAGTAGCTTCATTCAAAGTTTATTAATTTAAATAGAAAACTGATGAATCTCTTGCACCAAACTAAAATTAATAGCATAATTGGCAGAATCGACGGAGGGGTGATTAATACTCACTTTCTCATCTCTCGAGAGAAATTCCCACATCGGTATCGCCGAGCCGGTGACTCGCATCGTCACGCAGCATCCAAGTAGAATGCAGGTAGTGACCTTCACGAAGGAAGTCCCGCTGATCATCATTATGCTCTCTTGCTCTCCTTTTCCGCTTGCCGTTCCGTTCTTCACGTCGCGAGACACTCGCTTCACGCCGGCAGGTAACGATCACACGTGGTAGTCACAATTGATGCAATTGCAGTCGTCACGATTGTTGTCAAACAATCAATAACAAGCTCAATCGTTCCTCGTCACCGGATCGTCGTCTCGTATACACTGAGCCTCGATCTCGTTTGCCGCTTCGTTTTATGTTGCCTCGCGCGCGTCCAGTGGCGACCACGCGCCTCCGAGTGCCCCCACTTTGTCCATCTATCCGGGTTTCGTACACACGTCACAGCACGAGGAGCAGAGTCCACGGGATCCGGAACGTATTTACGCGCTCTAGGAAATCACGCTGACGCGACGCAAGTATGCGGACAGCGCGAGGGGGGGTGTGGAAAAAAAGAAGAAGGCATTCCTTAATTTCATTCGACGCGCCGCGCCGAAATTCCTGCGAGCGCGACACGCGCATCAAATTGAAGAAAAGCTTGCGGTTCTCTTTCGCGACGTAGGCTGAGGTGAAGATGGGACGAGAGATTTATTAACGCCGTAAATTTACGTATTAGATACATAGACGTATCTTTTTTTCTGGCGCCGCTAAAAGTTCGACGGAATTCAGGATATTATCTTTTATTGCTTCTATACGTTTCATATGCACAGAGTTTAGGATAGCATCGCGATCGAGATGTCCGTAAAGAACTGATAGAGCGCACGCTGCACTACTTGAAAGTCTATAATCGCTCGTCGGGCCGAAAGTTTCAAATGACAGCCTGACTGATATTTCAATCGAAGAGTTCAAAGTCCTCTTAGCAGTGGAAAACTACATACGGCGAAGAGAGAAAGATTTTACATATTTTAAAAGGAGTAACGTTAATTTAGACAGATATGTTGCATTAATATTTAAATAAGTTTTGCACGAGCTTAATCGCGAAATCACGTGGTGTATTATTTTACATAGCAATATTTACGCGCTCTAGGAAATCCCTGGTGCGATCAAGGATGTAAAAGAACGCAAAAAAAAGCGCTCCTTAATTTTATTCGGCGCCGCGCCGAAATTCCTGCGGGCGAAGTCGAAGAAAGTTTACAGCTCCCGCGACGTGGAGTGAAATGGATGAGAGACTCAAGGTGAAGATTCATTAATGTCATAATTATGCTTATTAAGTATACATCATTTTTATATATTACTTTATGTCGATATTTACCGGTGCTCTATACGAATTCGCGCCGACGCGACACAGGTATGCAGAAAGTGCAAAAAAAGCACCTCGTAATTTTATTCGGCGCCGCGTCGACATTCTTGCCTGAGCCACATGCATCGCGCCGAAGCAATCATTTTTCATAGCCGGGAAAAAAATACCCCTCTCACAATTTCAATTAATTAATTGAGAAATATTGCGGTACGATCTCTGCAGAACGAATTGCACGTGATTAGAAAGAGTGAGAGACTCAGGTATCACTTAAAAATTTATCAAATTCACGATTATCCGGATAAAATATCATAGATAATTCCCTTGAAACGCTGAAGACAACTTTAGGATGAAGTTTACCGATCGGCTGCGATAAGTAATCGGATAAGGTAGTGAAGAGCGACTGCTTCGAGAGGACGCGTCTCTTTCTCTGTCTCTCTTTCTCTGAAAAGGGGCTCGATCTCGTTTGTCCGGTTATTCTGCCTCAGCATCCTTAGATCCTATTTCTTGGGGTTTACCCGGGGCCCTAAGGGCAATACTTTTTCCTTCGAGTCTGTGCAATTGTGTCTGGCGAAGTTCTAAAAGCTTTTACGATGATTTTACAACCACCGAACGTCTTTAGGTACGTCATTCGCACGCGCAATGTGGGAATTTTCGGTAAAAACGTATCGCACGTACCTACATTGTTAACGACCCGCAGTACATTACCTCAGAAAGGCAAACCGGCCAAGGTTTTATCGATTCTATTTAACCCTTGGTTAACACGTTGCTTGTTTTGTCCGTGAATTAAAATGAAACACTGAAGCCGAATGAAAAGAAGACATTGTCAATGACGAAATTAACATAAATCACTAAGCAGTGTTAAATTATTGACCTTCTATCAGCAGACGATCTCTAATACGTTTCGTGAGTTCATAAAATCTTAAACGTAAACAAGAAAAATTTACGACAGTAATAAACAAGTAGATCCCGTTCAATTCTCTACGAGGTACCGGGTAGTCTATATGTATAGGATATATCCACATTCCACAAATTTTTTTTACGAGAAGTCAACTTTTCCTCAATGGACATTTTGCGAGAAACCATATCGTTTTTTGCAAGATTTGTATTATTGTTTAAAACTAAGATTACCTTTTTCCAATTATTTCCCTATAACAATGATAAATTTTATTCTGTCTTCAAACGACGTTCTTGCTGTAACAATAAGCTGCATTTGCTAAAAGTAAATTATTTTTCTTTAAATTAGTGAGCACAGATTTGCATTTTTACGAATAAATTTCATCAAAAAGAAATTTTCCATTTTACGAAAGGAAGGCTTTGTTATATCATCGAATAAATAATTATGCTGGCGACGTAGTGCCGCTTTCGTACATACAAACAAAATCTAGTAGAAAGTGGTGACAGAGTTTTGCTACGAAAATAAATTTCTTTTTTCGATTATAGATATACTCGCGATGAGATTTCGAGCAGCGGATAAGGGCAAGCGACCAACACGAGTGTGCATTGCGACGACTGATCGCGAACGAGCATCACATATCGAGCATCGTTGAAATGAATGCGTGAGCGGAGTGTCAATTAACGAGCGACACCGATTTTGTTGCCCGTATGCGATCGCGTCGGCGTCGGCGTCAGGTTTGTCAGGAAGACTTGCGGGCAGGTAAAGCGTAATTCGTATAACAGCAGCGCGCGGTACACATAACGCCTGTCGCGTTATTTATTCATCGCGCGCCCACGGCATACGAGATGTAAAATTTGTACATCATTTCCCAATTTCACTTTCACATTCGTCTCTTTTCGTGCGAACGATCGGCAAACACACACGTAGGCTTCGTCGAGATAACTTATGCCGAGTGCTTCGAACGGTCGATCGACCAAGGCGCTGTCAGAATGTCGCGTGTCTGACAGTCTGACTGTGCATTGTGCGCGAAAAGCAATTTTTTTTATCGCGCGGATAAAAGCGCGAATAAAATAATAAATATCGATTTATTTTAACGCTGCAACTTTTTTGAAGATAGGAAGTCGTTTGGGAAACAAGACTTTTCTTTTAGTTTTAGAATGCGTTATCTCGTTAAAAAAATTTATTTTAAAAAATTAAATATGTAATCTTCAAGATAAGAAAAATTGTCTTAGAATCTTTTATCGCGTTATTGAAAAAATTGCGATCCGTTATGATGGGACAGGATATCTTTCTCTCCTCGGCTAATCTTATGCAGCATTTTGTGACTTCTATTCTACGTTCGTCGGAATGTGCGAGCGCGGCTCGGGAAAATTCACGCGTAGGAAATCGAACAATGGCATTACGATGCTTTTCCGTGGCGATGACCAACGTGAGAATGCAAACGCCGGCCGCCGCTCGAGCGTGCTCACGTGCGTATTCTGCATTCTGCGTACCTCGTAGCGCGTGCATGTGTCGGGATAACACACCTCTCATGACTCATTATACATGCAGTTATTCGGTGCGAATGTGCATCTACTTTTACCGCACCGGGTGCCGTTCCCAGTAATCTTTCAGATTGGTAATCTCATCGATCCGCCCGTTTAACAGCTAAGCTTTGCGCTTGCAGCCGTGAATATAGTGGGAATCGAACTCGACGATCACCTTGCATAATTTAGTTAGAAGGACGATGCAAATTTTTGTTTAATTGTGATTATTTGTCATTATTAAAAATCACGATATTGATATAATTAAGATGTCAATTAGGGTAAACTCGGATATGGCCATACAGGAAAGATGGCCAACTCATGTTCATTCGATGTTTCATGGCGAGCTAGATTGAAAGAACATTATAGGTTGGCCATCTCTATGGCCATCTTATCCGAGTTTACTCTAATTGACATCTTAATTATATCGATATCGTGATTTTTAATAATGACAAATAATCACTGACAAATTATTAATAATTATTAATGAAATTCGTCTTTATTAAAAATCGAAGAACAAGTATACTCGAAGTTCTCTCTTCGTATCTCTTAAAATCGTGAGTTCTGTAGGATAAATCACTATAAGCAATAAATAAATAATCAGAATAATATTTAAAAGATATTATTCCGTTGACAGAATTTTTACTTACAAAAAATGAGATTTTTTGGCCAGATTAACATCCGTCAAAAGATAGGTGAACAAGATTCGATATAGAGCCATTAAAAGAGAACGATGAATAATTATTATTATTTAATTAAAATTTATAATCATAGTTTTTAATGACTTCAGAAGAATCCAACAGAAGCAATACTATTTTCATTCTAAATTGTCATTAAATCCGTTTTAACGTTTAATGTATGCATTTAACGCATTTTAACGTCCATTTTTAATGACTGTTAAAAGATATATAAGTTTGATAGCTATAAAGATAGGAAGAATATAATAAACTAGTAAAATGTAAAATATTATAGTAATATAGATGAGAAAAAATTAGAATTACACGCTGCTACGTAGAAAAAAAGATAGCTTATGAAAAATATGCTTCAGAACAGATCCGCGATATCGAATTATTAAAACAACAAACATTTGCATCTAATAGAAATATTCAAGGTGGTCAGGCCTTACCCCGTAGAACAATAGCTATGTCGCACTTATAACTTCTGCTTTACATATCCTGGGTTTTATGTATGCCTGGCTAATAAATTTATTGTGTAACAAGAAGCGGAATTAATTCGCTCTAGCACGTAACGCCGTTCTTTAATTGGTAAGAGGAGTACCATCGCGATGGAATCATCACGAGATTCAAATCGTCTGGAAACTGACGAAGGTATCTCGTTACTATCGCATGCACCGTGAAATTTGAATTGAATTGAATTGGCCGTACCTCTATTATGTTTCTAGGATAAATCCTATTCTCCTACGCGTAATTAAACGAACGTACAAAGTATGTACGGCGCACGTCGGGACTTCTTCATTTTAAGAGTCTTGAGAGCCTTACGACCTTACAAGTTAGAAAAAAAAAGAAACAAATGAACGAACAAGTCGCTTAGTCGACGGCAATGAGGGATTCGAAATCGCGCAGGATGCTGTCATCACTCGGCCGTAAAACTTGGTTAATCGGGAATCGGCCAATTAACGCGCGCCGTCACCGGTGTCCCTTGACCTCCTACGACGGTCTTCGCGCTTTTAATCGAGTAAGGCATAAGAATCGACGCGCTCTTTAGTTACCATGACGGATATCCTTCCATGCCGATGATGTTGAACGATTGAAAGGATGACTACGCTCGTATACGCAGCTCCATACATCGAGGTCGGCTCGCGCACGGTTAATTGAATTGGAAAGCAGAATGACACAATCTAAACGCGCGGCTTGGTGCGAAACGCAGTCCACATCCATAT